TCTCTCTCTCTCTTTCTGCCTTTCAAATAAATAAATCTTTTAAAACCAAACAAAATGAAAAATCCATGATTAAGAGCAAGGTTTGTCAGATGTTAGTGACCTCCACCCTAGTGCAGAACTCTCTAGAAACTTCTAGATGGGGAAAAAAAAGAATCTGGCTGAATTACGAAAGGGGAACTGGATACCTCTGTGAGCAACACAACGGCGAATGCTTCTGGCGCACTTCCTCTGTGCCAGGCCCTGGCCTGCACTTCCCACAGAGGTTGCACTGAGTTAGTCCTGACCACGTGCCCCTGAGGTGAAGCTGGCTTTAACCCTCATTCTGTCGAACAAGGAAACAGAAGCTTAGGGGTTCAGGTGTGCACAGGTGATGTCATTGACCCTGTACTTGATTGCACCCCTTCTTAGAGCTCGTTGTTTTAGCCAGTCTACAAGGAGTACCTTGAGCAGGTTGAACCAGGTGCTGGGGTTGTGGCCAGGCTCCGTACTCGCGAGACTGTCCCAGCTGTCTTTGCTGGCTCGTCTCTAGGACCTTGGTCGCTGGACATGTGCTCATGGAGGTCAGATGATGCTTGAAAAAGACACCACTCCCGGAGCAGGCATTGGGGTGCACTGGGTTACGCCACCACTTGGGACACCCACATCCTGCTTCAGGATGCCAGTGCAAGTCCCAGCTACTCCACAGCAGTGATTGCTGGTCCAAGTACTTGGGCCCCTGCCATCCACATGGGAGGCACAGATGGAGCTCCTGGGTCCTGGCTTCACCCTAGACCAGCCCCGGTGGTTGTGGCCATTTGGTGAGTGAGACAGTGGACAGGAGATATACGCTCCTGCCTTTAAATAAATAAATAAATCTTTTTAAAAAAAGGACATATGTTCCACCAGGACCTGTCCCCTTCCTTTTTTTTTTTTTTTTTAATTTGAGAGGGAGAGACAGAGATCTACCATTTGCTGGTTCACTCCTCAAATGCCCACAGCAGCCAGGGCAGGGTAGGAAGAAGCCAGGAGCTCACTCCGGGCCTCCCAAGGTGGGTGGCAGGGACCCGAGCACTGGAGCCATCACCTGTCGCCTCCCAGGCTGTGCGTGAGCAGGGAGCTGGGACCAGGAGAAGAGCGGGGGCTGGAGTCCCGGGTTTAAAGACATCCCAAGGAGCGTTCTCACCACTGCACAAACTCGGCCCGCTGCTTCTGCCGTTTGCTGGGAAAACAGCTCTCCCAGGAGGGGGCTGCCTCTGCGGATCCCCCTAAGGAACCTCGCTTGCTAACCCATGGGAGGCTTTGTCTTGTCTGGGGCGAACACGTGTCTCCTCATCTGTCGGCTGGGTTTCAGCCTTACTCAGGAGGTCCATGCCCACCAGAAGGGTTCAGCTTTTTGCAGTCCAGCCTGTGTGTTTCTGTTCTGCTTGTTTGTTTTTATTTTTTACCCTTTGGGCTCGGCTGCCTGGCTGAGAAAGGCTGCAGATCACTCCTGGACCCCCCAGCTCGGTGTCTGTGTGGGGTACAGGTGCAGACAGGACACCGCTGTGACCTTGCATACCTGGTGTGGCCCGGGCTGGAGGGTACTCAGACAGGGTCTCCCCTATTCCTCCAACCTCCCATCCAGCTTGGGGCACCCTGTGAGGTCCCGCGATGGCCACAGCTGGGATTCGCCTTTGTTTTTCACTGTTAGAGGCTTGGAGACGGCAGTCTGGACCCCTCCCTACTACCCAAACCACTTCTGTTTCCCGGTGGCGCCCTTGGAATGCTGAGTCGTGATTTCCACATCCCCGCTGCTGTGGTGAGCAGCTGCATTTCTGCTGTGTCATGGTTGGGAGGGGGGACTCGAGACAAAGAGACTCAGCGGATTCTGCTGAGTCACGCTCTGCTTCCCCAGCCTCGGGCAGCTTTCACAGTCAGCAGGAGGGAGCCAAAGTCTGGAAAAGGGCAGCGGCTTCTTGTGGATCAAGTCTTTGCACACTGCTTGCCAAGCCCTGTCCCAAACATCTCGACAGTGACACGTCCCACACGGAGCTGCTGGCTTCTCCCAAGAGCTCCCAGGTGCTGTCACCGCCGGCTCCAGTTGCCTGGCCCAAGAGCTGGGAAGTTACTCTTGGGTCGTTTTCTCTCTTACTGTTCTCGCTCCTATTCCTGTGGAAGCCCTGATGGCTCCTCCTTTGAAATGTGTGGACACGTCCGGAGCACGCACACGTTCCAGGGCGGGGACATCTTGGCGGGGGGCAGGGGGGGGGTCTGCTCCCTCTCTGGGCCACTCTCCCTGCTTCGCAGACGGGTGCCCCGTCAAGGTCGGCTCCTGCCCCCCCCTCGTGGTCTTGAGCTTGTACCTCCAGCACGAAGGCAGAGCTGGCTCCATCCGGCAGCCCAAGCATTGGTTCTGGAAGGAAGACTGGGAAGAGGATGGTGGGTTGTCGGAGGGAGCACAGCTGTAAGGGTGGGTGCCAGATGTCACCAGCGATGCACCTGGCGTGGCAGGAGGAGCAGGTGAAGGGATGCGTGGCAGTGGAAGGTCACCTGCGTTCTCTGGCCGGCGGCCCTGTCCTGCCCCTCGTAGGACCTTCCAGCCTCTGTTCTCTGCTCCTGCATCGTAGACCCCCAGCCTGCCCACCACAAGGACCTTGGTGGAGCCATAAGACCCGTGGGGAGAACCCCGCATCTTTAGCCTGTTCACACCTGCAAAGTCCTCTCATCTGACGCTGCTCGGAGGTTCTGGGGAGGAGGGTGTGGACACCTTGGAGGAGCCACTACTCAGGCGACCACAGGAGGAGAACGAACGGCCCCTGGATCACGCAGCTGCTCGAGAGAGGGGAAGGGGCATCCCGGATGCTGAGTCAGCACGGGGGGGAAGCGCCACAGACAGCTCTGGCACAGGAGTCCCAGCCTGGCCCCTTCCACCCAGGGCTCTCGCTGTGTGTCGTCTGTGCCAGCTGCAGCCGGGGCTCCCTGGATGGGCGAGCCTGGATGGGCAGTAGGAACCCTGGGTGACCAAAGGCTCTGTCTGCAGCAGGGGCACAGCCTGGACCAGTCCCTCCGTCCCTTGGGGCTCCAGCCCTCGCCCCACGGTGTTAAATGAGAAGAGGTCGGATCACACGGGCTTTCCCTTTCAGGGTCCCCGAATCCACAGATGCTGGAGCTGCAGGGGTCCCACGCTCTTCTTCCCTAAACTCCTGGAGCTTTTATGAGAGAGGTGGGGGGAGGGGGAGGCCAGCAGTGAGGGGTTTGGCTTCCAAGGCTCTGCTGTCCCTGGCCGTGTGGCATGGGAAAAGGACTTCACCTCTCTGGCCTCAGCGCTTAGGTGGACAAAACGGAGACACAAATGATGACGGCCCACACGTCGCAGGGCTGTTGTCCGGATTCCAGGAGTTGTGCACCCATCGGCTCTGCACACAATAAGTGCTCAGTGAACGCTGGCTAGGACGCGTTTGTAATGGCAGCTCGGTCCCAGCCCTTCCTGGCAGCCTCACGATTCTCCCCTGTTCAAACTCACGGTAACCTCTCTGCCCCAGTATCCTCGTTTCTCTTTCTTTTTTAAGATTTGAAGGCAGAGTTACAGAGTGAATGGGAGAGACAGATGGCCGCAACATCGGGGGCCGGGCCAAGCCAAAGCCAGGAGCCTGGAACTCCACCCGGATCTCCCACGCGGGTGCAGGGGCCATTGTCCTTGGGCCATCTTCCACTGCTTTCCCAGGTGCAGCGGCAGGGAGCTGATTCGGAAGCGCAGCAGCTGAGACTCAAACTGGTGCCCACAGGGGATGCCGGTGTCACAGGCGGCAGCTTTACCCGCTACGCCACCATGCCGGCCCCAGCGTCCTCACTTGTAACAACACCAGTCGTAGGGAGATACTGCGAGGGTTAAACACATGCATGCGTGCCCGTGTTTAGAACGGCGTCTGGCACACAGTAAGTGCTCAGTGAACAGGAGCGGTCATTCCAGTTGTCATTGTTCAGAGACACAGAGGTGGTTGCAGAGACTCCTGGGTGTGCACGGACTCCTGGCCACTGTCGGGGGAGTCAGGCTTAGGCTGCTGTACGTCTGTGCCCCCTTACCTTCAAGATGGGGGCTTGCTGCTTCCAATTCCAGACAATGGGCTTGTCAGGAGAGAGGGGGGCATCTTAAAAAAAAAACAAATCAGTCAAGGGCAGGTGTTGTGGCGCAGTGGGTTAAACCACTGCTTGCAACGCCCACATCCATGTCTGAATGCCTAGTTCATCCTGGCTGCCCTGTTTCCCATCCAGCTTCCTGCTATTGTACATCCTGGGGGGGCTGCAGGTGAGGGATCAGGGTCTTGGGTCCCTGCCAGACCTGGATGGAGTTCCAGGCTCTTGGTTTTAGCCCAGCCCAGCCTTGGCTGTCATACGAATTTGAGGAGTGAACCACTCTGCTTTCAAATACACATTTTTTAAAATTCAGTGAGAATTGTGGCATTTAGAACCCACCCAAGTGTGACCCTGTATCACTATAATCGCCCTGGGCCTCCATTTCCCTCTCTGTAAAATGGGCACAATTGCTCCCACAGGACAGGGGAGTGGAAGGAGGCAGCACAGCCTCTGGGACTGCGCAGGTGCTCCAGCAACAGGTCCTGCGCGCACCTTCCGGGGGGAGGGCCCTGGGGGCCAAGGCATTGCAGGGTCTGAGGTCTGGCTGCCCCCTTGTTGCCTTTCGGCTTCTGGCTTCGTAGAAAACGTTGAGATCCCTGAGATGCGCCAAGTCCCACCACCGAGCCCCGAGCTGCCCCGAGCTCCACAACTTTTTTTCCTGTATTTTTTTTTTTCCTGTTGTTGTTCTTGGATTTTTGGTAGTCGTCCTGTGGCCGCGCTGTTTCCCGGGGGTCATATGACCGCTCCCCGGCGGGCCCCCGCGGTGTCGCAACCGCGGGCCAGAAAGGGGGCATCAGCTGTGCGCCCGCGCCACGTGACCCGCCGCCCGGCCTATAAAGCCCCGGCGCGGTCCGGCTCGGCACAGCAGTCGGCCGCCGGCTCCAAGCAGCGCAGCGCAGCGCAACCAACCGCGAGCGAGCGAGCCAGCCAGCCGGAGGGAGCGAGCGAGAGAGCCAGCCGGAGGGAGCGAGCGAGCGAGCCAGCCAGCGGAGCGAGCGAGCGAGCCGACCAGCGCAGCGATGGAGCGCACGCACCCCGACAGGCAAGCACTTTGGGGAGTCCTCGCCGGGGCCGGAGCCGGGACGGCCGACGCGCGCTTCCCGCCCCGCCCAGCTCCCGCCGCGGCCCCTCGGTGGGTAGCGGCGGGGCGGCCTCAGCGCCCGGGCGGGACGGCCTGGAGCCTGGGTTCCCAACCTAGCTGCGCCGGCGGGGTGGCTGGAGGGAGAAGAGGTGACTCGCGCGCCTGGCCGGCACCCCGGAGCGCGGGGTGGGAAGGGTGAGTGGGACCGGATGGGAGGGGCCCTGAGGTGTCCAACCTCTGAGGGTGTCAACTTTTTTTTGATTTTTGATTTTTTTGGTATCCAACTTTTGAGGTGTGCTTGGAGGTGCTGTGCTGACTGGAGGCTCAGGGCGGGGGGCATCTAAGCTAGAAGTCTCCTGGGCTGTGGAGGCCCGGGTACCTGGTTAGGACCGGCCAGCAGGTGTCAGGGCTGGGATTTGAACCTTGGCCCGTCCACCTCCACGCTGGCCCAACCCCTTCCCCCTGAGACTTGTGGGCGCATCTGTAGGGGTAGGAAGTGCTGTTCCTGGAACGGGAGAGACGAAGGGGGAAATGAAAATCTAAGGGGGTGGGGGAGACTGACATGGACATGTGGCAAGAAATACACCAGGGAAGGGACTTTTTCTTTGAGGAAAGCAGAACACCGTCCGTGTTTTGGGGGGCACGCACTTTGGGGATGAGTTTCCTGTTGCAGGGATCCCTGAGGTTAGCGCTTGAGACTTAGCGCAATGAGGGAGCCCAGTGCCGGCTGGAAAGCCGGCGTGAGCCGTTCCCCACTGGTGTTCCCACCGCCCACACCGCCGGCCCTGGACCTGGGTCCCTGCCCTGGGCACTGTGGAAGTCCCAGGTGGCTGCAAGCCTGCCCACAGGTGGCTGGCACCTGGAGAAGCCCCGCCCACATCCTCTGGCTCACTCCCTCCCCTGCCCCTGCAGCTTGCCCCAGGATTTGTCCGAGGCCCTGAAGGAGGCCACCAAGGAGGTGCACACCCAGGCGGAGAATGCCGAGTTCATGAAGAACTTTCAGAAGGGCCAGGTGACTGCCGAGGGTTTTAAGGTACGTGGCCGGGGGCGGCGGGTGTGGACGTGCCGTGTGTGTGTGTGTGTGTGTGTGTGTGTGTACCGGGGCTGGGATGATGAGGCGAGGTGACTAACCACGGGGCGCACGGCGAGCTGGCAGTGCATCAGCATACAGCCCTGGTCTGCGTTGGGCATTTTGTACCCTTGGTCTCCAGCGTCTGCCTCCAGGCTGGGCAGACGAGGAAGGAAGGCTCAGAACGGGCAGGTGACCTGACAGCGGTCCCGCAGCCGGTAACTCCGGGGAAAGGCCTAGACGGGTCTGGCGCCAGAGCACATGCCCCGGGCCTGATTCGGATTTGCCTCTGAAGGCAAGAAATAGTATAGGCTTGGGCCCTCTGAGGGCCATCTCCTGACAGAGGCCTGGGGGCGCCTCATCGCCTCCCCGGACCCCGCTCTGGCCGCATCTGTGCGCTGGGATTTCAACAGCAGGGTGGCTGTAGGCACCACCCATGGCGAGGCCCGCTTTGCGCTCTTTCCTGCCACTGTTGGGAAATTCCTGCAGATAGAGGAATGTTGGGCGTTCACAGCGGCAGGAGAGGCTTGAGCAGAGGGTGGGGGTGCGGCGCTGTGTCCCCGCTCCTGCACCTGTCCCGTTCCCAGTCAGGCCCCTCCTCCAGCTGGGCTTCCAACCTGAGAGGTGCTACAGCGAGGGGAGGTGCATTTGCTCACTTTTGAATTTATAAAAAAGATGTTTTATGTGTGAGAGAGAGAGAGAATCTTCCATCTGCTGGTTCAGTCCCCAGATGGCTGGGCAGGCGGAAGCCAGGAGCTCCATCTGGTGTCCCACCTGGGTGGCAGGAACCCAGATACTAGGGCCCTTACTCGCTGCCTCCTAGGCACGTTAACAGGAAGCTGAAGTAGCTGGGACTTGAACCAGGAACTCCTAGATGGGATGTGTGTGTCTCCCAAGCAGCGGCTTAGCCTGCCGTGCCACGGAACCACAGCGGGGCCCTTGGGGCATTCCTCGTCTTCCTTCCCCTCCCTCAAAAAGATGACGTCCCCCCAGTTGCTGTAATGTGGCTGGGGCAGTGGGGGGTGGGGTGGGGAGGTGACCACTGGAATGTCGCTCTCCTGCCACCATGGACGTCGGATCTTGCCTCCGGGTCAGAGTCCAAAGTGGGCCCCGAGATCCAGAGAGAGCCCAGTGCTTTCTCACAGCGGAGGTGGCTCAGCACAGGGAGACCTCCCACCGTAGGCGAGGAGCTAAGACCAGAGAGGGCCAGGGCTCACTCACAGTCACACAGCTGAGGGCCAGGGATGCCGCGCCGAGAGCCAGGTCTGTGTGACCGGAGAGCTGCCTGTCCAGGAATGTTTACAGGTCAGAAAGAACTCAGAAACCTTGACCCGCACATTTTAACGTCATCCTCCTTCAACTTCCAGCTAGAGAATTAATGAGTAACGGGAGTGAGTTCCGTGAGCCCTGGGGCGGGGGGGCGGGGGGCCATCACCCCAGGCCAGCCTGCAGAGGTGGTGGGGTTTACAGAGGGCCTCCTGGAAGAGAATTGCACCCTGTAGATGGCCACGCAGAGGTCAGAGACCAGAGGCGCCTGGCCCGTCTTCTGTAAGCACCTCTCTCGGGCGGGCCTCTGCCCCAGGCCGGGCTGACTCTAGTGCGTTTCCTAATTCCCTAGCAGCTGTGCCGCCTCCATTTCTCAGGTCCTCTCCCCCCGCCCCTCTGTTTCTCAGGTCCTCTCCCCCTGCCCCTCCATTTCTCAGGTCCTCTCCCCCCGCCCCGCCCCGTTTCCTTTCCTGCAGCGTGGTGACGGCGACCGTTCTGTTGGGTTTTTATAAGGATTAGACTGGGCTGCATGTTCACCCATGGGGTGGCAAGGTTTCAGGCTGTGCACGATGTGTGTGTGTGTGTGTGTATACGTGCATGATGGCTGCTATGCGGAGGGGACTGGAGGGGCCGCCAGCAGCGTGTCCTGCCCGGCCGGCAGCCTGACCTGCTCGCTCCGGTTGCAGCTGGTGATGGCCTCCCTGTACCACATCTACGTGGCCCTGGAGGAGGAGATTGAGCACAACAAGGAGAACCCGGTCTACGCCCCGCTCTACTTCCCGGAGGAGCTGCACCGCAAGCCTGCCCTGGAGCTGGACATGGCCTTCTGGTACGGCCCCCGCTGGCAGGAGACCATCCCCTACACGCCGGCCACGCGGCGCTACGTGCAGCGCCTCCAGCAGGTGGGGCGCGCAGAGCCCGAGCTGCTGGTGGCCCACGCCTACACCCGCTACCTGGGCGACCTGTCTGGCGGCCAGGTCCTTAAGAAGATCGCCCAGAAGGCCCTGGACCTGCCCAGCTCCGGCGAGGGCGTGGCCTTCTTCACCTTCCCCCACATCGCCAGCGCCACCAAGTTCAAGCAGCTCTACCGCTCGCGCATGAACTCCCTGGAGATGACCCCCAGCGTCAGGCAGAGGGTGGTGGAAGAGGCTAAGGCCGCCTTCCTGCTCAATATTCAGGTGAGGCCCTGGCAGCCCAGGGCGGCCACTGCCACCCCAGTGGGGAGGGCCCTGGGGGTCGTGGCTGAGTGCAGGGGGGTGGGAGCCAGGATTCCAGTTCTGCCCCTTCCTAGTCGGGTGATGGTGGGCAACTCCTGAGCTTCCCTGTACCTCAGTTTTGCTACCTGTAGATTGGGGCAGTAATAGTCCCTTCATCCTAATAGCAAAGGTGAAGTGAGTTTATTATACCAGTCAGGCCCCTACAGCAGTTCCTGGCATGGGGTGGGCCCTCCAGTCCTGTGGCGAGGGGGCACGAGAATCCCTGTGGCTGCACCCTGTGACCGCACGTAAGGTGTGTGCGCCAGTGTGGAGCCGGCCAGAACAGCAAGGGGTGCAGGTGCGGGACATGGCCTCAGCCCAGTCAGCAGGACAGGGTCATCTTTCCACAGGTGCCTCCGGTCCAGTGGGGAGGAGCTTCTGTGTTTACATTTTCTAATTATTTCTATTATTATACTTTCTGTATTATTTATTTTCATTTTATTTGAAAGGCAGAGAGAGAGTGAGTGAGAGAGAGCGAGAGAGCTTCCATCTACTAGCTCATTCTCCAGATGCCCACAATAATTGAGACTGGGCCAGGCGGAAGCCAGGAGCCAGGGACATGGGCTTCTGACTCACGCCCTGCCGGTTCCGTCTTCCCAGCCTTCGGGGCAGAGGACAGGGTCCCTCACCATCAGAGAGCAGAGCCCCTCCTCCCAGCCTCCTCCAGACCCGTGCCCTGCAGAGAGGCGTGGGCTCAGAGGAGCAGGGTGTTATGTCACCGTGTGGGGCGCTCGCATCCCCTGTGGCTGTGCCCTGCCGGGAATGGGGTCAGGCCCTGGGTGGACAGGTGTTACCATGAGGGGGGCATGGAGGTGGACGGAACATTTGGGAGGAGCAGGCGGGGCCCCCCTGTACCTGGGACATCTCTTAAGCTGTTTGAAAGGTACAGGAATGTTCGCTTTGTGATTTCCAACGAAACCTAACAATCCCGCCTCCCACCGGGGCTAGCAGCATCTCACCGAGCCGGCTTGTCGCCTCTTGTCTTTCAGCTCTTTGAGGAGTTGCAGGAGCTGCTGGTCCAGGACGCCCAGGGCCAGAGCCCTTCGCAGGCACCAGGGCTACGCCAGCGGACCGGCAGCAGGACCCAAGACTCCACCCCCGTGGAGCCCCCCAGAGGGAAGTCCCAGCTCAGCAGCCTCTCCCAGCCTCCGCTCCTTCGATGGGTCCTGACACTCAGCTTCCTGGTGGCAACGGTCGCCATGGGGCTTTACGCCATGTGAATGCCAGCGTGCCGGCCCCCGGGGCCAGGAACTCAGCTTCCTTATCAGAGGACAATCTCTTGGCCGGCTTCCCTATCTTGGGCACAGGAGGCTTCCAGGGCCCCCAGCCCTCCCCCGCCATGACCCACGTCTCTGGAAAGGAGGAAGGAGTGGGTGGCGTCTTCCCCTGCCCGGAGAACATTCAGCCAGTGGGGTGAGGGCCGCCCTGCCCGCCACAGCCCCTGTCCCTGCAGCAGAGCCCAGAAGATGCAGGAGCCCCGGCGGCCGTCCTCAGCGTCCCAGCGCCTGGAGTTTGTGGCTTCCTTGTTGATGCCACCGTGACCGTGTGCCCTGTGGGTCATGGCCACTTTTGTATCAATGTGAAGATGTTATGTCTCGTGTTCACTCTTATTTCTGTTGGAGCCTCTTTTTGTTCCCGGCTCACCCCAAGTGGTGATATTTTGTTGTGTTCTGTTTTTTTTGTTTTTTGTTTTTTTAAATATCAGGGTGGGGCTGGGGAGGGCGGTGTTTAACAGCACCGTGGCCTTGGTCTCTAACTTCTGTGTGAAATAATAAACAGCATTGTATGATAGTAACCTGAGTGTTTTACAGGGGCTCGGTTGGCCCTTTGGGGACTGGCCTTTTCCTTGATTGTTTTGTGATTGCCTGGGGGGTTGTGGGGCTGGCTCAGGATGTGGGCTCCATTTGAGAGGGCGGGAGGTGAGCTGTAGGGGGTGGGTGGGCTGCAGATGGCCTTGAACCCTGCTGGGTGCAAGCCTCACCTTTGCCGAGGGTGGCGCTGCAGTTGGTTTGCAGCGAGCAGCTTTTGGGGTGAAATGCGTGGATTCTGGACAAGAACTCTCAGGGCCTGCAGTGAGACCCCGGTTCAGATCCCCGCTGCTCTACTTTGAGGTGGGTCAGTTAACCTCTGCCGGGCTCGGTTTATCACCTGTGACATGGATAGCCACAGCCACCGCGCCTCAATGGGAGTCCCCTGGGAGACCCACATGGTGTGGTGTGGCGGTCACTTCACCTGTGTCATCTCTGTGTCACTGCTCGCGGCTCACCTGGGAGGGGTCGCTGCTCCCCGGGGAGGGGAGAGGGGGGGAAGGATTTCAGCCAGGTCCTTCCAGCTGCAAACCCAAGCCCTTTCCACCGGCCCACTACACTGAAACACTCCCTTTCCTGAGGGCGTCCTGGGCAGAGCGGGGAGCCAGGCATGTCCTTAGCAGTTCCTCCTGAGGACTGGGACCTTTGTCCCTGGTTCTGGCTGTCGCCAAATCTGGAATCTTGGACGAGTCATTTCAAGCCTCAGTTTATTCCCCCAGTTGGTGGGAGGATCTGGCAGTGTCTACCCAGGCTGTGTGAGGTGATGACGGACTCACCCAGAGAAGCCTCACCCTGGCACCCAGGGCTCCGCGCTGGGGGTCCTGATCCTGCAGACCTGGGCCGGGCGCCTGTGGGATTGCAGTTTGTGAAGAGCGCCCTGGGCAAGGCCAGTGTGCGAGCAGGTCCCAGAGCCACTCAGCCATAGCTCTCCCGCCCCGCGCCCAATTTCCTCTGCCGTGAATGAGGCAAAGGGACTCATGGTGGAGGCAAAGAAGAGGAGGGGGAGGAGGGGAGAAACCGTCCTGAATCACTCCTCGAGCAGCTGAGTAACGCGTTCTCTCGGTTGTCAAAGACAAAGCCCGATGCAGAAGTCCTTAAGTAGAGACTTTTAATATTTATTTGAAAGGCAGATTGGCGGAGGGAGAGATCTTCCTACTGCGCATTCACTCTGCCATCTGTTCACTCCCAGTGGCCTCAGTGGCCGAGGCTGGGCCAGGATGGAGCCAGGAGCCAGAACTCCAACAGAAGCTCCCATGTGGGTGGCCCAAGCACTTGGGCCATCCTCCACTGCCCACAGCAGAGAGCTGGACTGGAAGAGGGGCAACTGGGACTAGAACCCGGCACCCATATGGGGTGCCAGCACCACAGGCAGAGGATTAGCCAAGTGAGCCGCGGCGCCAGCCCCAGTATGGGTGGATTTGAACCAATGATAACTATCGAACAGGAACTGAACTCAACTTCAGTTTGTACAAAGGAAGACGAGCCCTTCCCAGGGAAAGTAACAGGCAGCCGTCTAGTCCGGCCCCGGGACTGGTTGGAACGCCTACATCCCACGTGAGAGTGCCCGGGTTCAAGGCCCATCTCTGGTTCCTGACGCCAGCTTCCTGCTACCGCACACCCCAGGAGCCAGGTGGTGAGTATCTGCCACCTGCGTGCGAACCCTAGACTGAGTTCCTAGCTCCTGATCCGGGGCCAGTGTGAGCATTCGAGAGCAGACCCCCACAGGGGCTCTTCCTGTTGGCAAATAAGGACATAAACATTAAAAAAAAAAAAAAAAAAAGAAAGCTGGGAGCAGGGGCCCAGTCAACAGGTGCTGGCTAAACAGCCCAAGAATCAGCCTGGCGCTTCCTCAGGCAGGCCCTGGGTGGGCCCTTCAGGGATGTGGCCAGGATGAGGTGCTGAGCGAGGGTGCCCTCAGGCCTGACAGAACACCCCTCCCCCACCCAGACCGAGGCCTCCTGGGGAAAGTGGGGAAAGGGAACCCAGAGGGCTGGAGCGGGGTCGGGGTCGAGGCCTTGGTCACCCACTGCCCCTGGACAAGGACAGGCGCCTCACCCAGGGCTCTGGGCCCAGGGGGGGCGGGGCCAGGAAGTGTTTCTGAGAAAAGCCAGTTGCAGACCCTTTTTCCGCACTGCAGAAATACACGCCCCTAACACATGTAATTGGCTGAACGCGTTTTCACACTGGGGCGGCCCTGGACCGGAGGGGAAGGGGCTTCACTCAGCCCCTCCCAGCTTTGACAATCTTCCATTGCAAATGGGGTCATGGGTTTTCGCTTTAACCACTACTAAGTCATGTAAAGCCTTCTGTAATTTTTAACGGGGTCAAAGGTCACATCCCTGGCGTGGCACGTTTGTGGGATTCAGGTCTTTTCTGGGGTTAGGGAGGTCCCGCAGGGCCTTAAAAACGGGCGTTCTTAGCGTGTGGGAGCCGGGGGCTCGGGGCCGGGCAGAGGCATGGCAGCTGCGGTGGAATTGGCCCCAGCGACAAGACCGCGGCTCCGAGCTGGCCTGCGCACGGCAGCCCTTAGGGCCCGGTCTCCCGCGGCAAAATGGGGCGACCGGACCCTATCATTGCAGAACTCCTAGCTTTTGTCCCCTACAGCTCTGGAAGGGGTCATTTTCCCAAGAGGCTAAAAGGTTTCAGAAAATTGCACAAAGGCAGCCCCCGCGCGCCGCCGCCGGACCCTCCTCCGCTCCCGGGAACGCCTCTCCGCCATCTTTGCGCCTCCGCCCCGCGCCACCGCCGCTGCTCCCTCCCCAGTCAGAAGTTTCGCGCCAAATTGTTCCGCGCACAAGATGGAGTCCGGAAGAAGGCGGGGTACTGACGTCATGGGCTTGCAGCCAATCGCCTTCGGCATCTGGCTGGGGAGGCGGGGCTCGCGGAAGCAGAGCGGTCCAATCGCCGGTGGCAGGGCTCCGGTGAACCAATGAGAGCGCAGCGGCCGCGGCCCGCGAATGCTGCGTCTCTTTTTTCCCGCGAAACTCGGCGGCCGAGCGTGGAGGTTCTTGTGTGCCCCGGGCGAGCGTAGCGTGGGAACAAGGAGGTGAGCCGGCTGCGATCGGGGGTGACGACAGCGGGAGCCCCTCCAACACAGAGGGGTGGGGGGGTCTGCGGGCGTCCGCAGCTCCTGGCGCACTGGGGTGGAGCAGGGGCGGTTTCGGGAAACTAGGGTTGGGGTCCCGGAAGGCTAGCGTTCCCCTCCCCCCCGCCGACTCGAGGCTTGTCCCACGCACCACGCCCCTCCCGGAGCCGGACCCAAGCATCAGAGAGGCGGAGGGGGTGCCGGGCCCGGCCCCTACCTCCTCCCCCGCTCCGCTCCAGCGCTCTGCCCCCGTGCCAGGTGCAGCCATGTCGGGCTTCGACGATCCGGGCGTCTTCTACAGCGACAGCTTCGGGGGCGACCCCGCGGCCGACGAGGGGCAGGCCCGCAAGTCGCAGCTACAGAGGCGCTTCAAGGAGTTCCTGCGGCAGTACCGAGTGGGCACCGACCGCACCGGCTTCACGTTCAAGTACAGGTGCGGCCGTGGGGGGATGTGCACCTGCAACCCGGCCACCGCTTGAGCGGCTGGGGACACAGGCCCCTTGGGCCCTGAGTAGACCGATGGGGAGGTGGGCTCAGAGAGAGGAAGGAGCCTGCCGGGGTCATGAACCTTTTTTTTTTTTTTTAACTTTTATTTAATGAATATAAATTTTCAAAGTACGATTTATGGATTACAATGGCTTCCCCCACATACCGTCCCTCCCACCCACTACCCTCCCCTTTCCCACTCCCTTTTTTTTTTTTTTTAAGATTTATTTGGTAGACAGTTACAGAGAGAGGTAGCGCCAGAAGGAGAGAGAAGTCTTCCATCCTCTGGTTCACTCTATGTGGCCGCAGTGGCCAGAGCTGAGCCAATCTGAAGTCAGGAGCCAGGAGCTTCTTCCAGGTCTCCTACGCAGGTGCAGGGCCCAAGGACTTGGGCCATCTTCCACTGCTTTCCCAAGCCATAGCAGAGAGCTGGATCAGAAGAGGAGCAGACAGGTGCCCTTATGGGATGCTGGCACTGCCGGTGGCGGCTTTACCCACTATGCCACAGTGCCGGCCCGGTCATTAACTTTTGAGTGGGCCACCAGTAACCCAGCCAGAGCCACCTGGACTCTGAGCCAGGTCTTTCCTGCCCACTGCTTCTTAGGGTCCTTCCACGTAGGTGTACAGCACCCACCTTCCTGTGGTGTGAAAGGTGGAGACGGCCATTCATTCATTTTGTTCACATACCTTCTATGGATTGAGCGCCTGCTGCATGCCAGGTGCTTGGGTGTGTGTGGGGCTGTAGCCCTGAATGAGCTGGGTGAGACCCCTGCTCCCAGGTTGTTGTACAACTCTGTGACGTCACGTTGAGTCTTTGTGGGCCCAGCCTCTGTCCTGGAAGACGCAAGGAACGTCCGTGTGCAGGTCCAAGCTTGGGCCTGGCCGGCTGTTAGCTGAAGGGCCATCCAGTGACCGGGTCCCTGGGCCTCAGTTTACGTCAGCAAGAAGAGTCCAGCCACGCGTGCCTGCGTGTGTCCATACAGCGGCTGACATTGCCACTGCGGGCCACGGAGATACAGAGATGAGGCATAGGGATGACAGGTTCCAGGTGACAGCAGCCTCCATGGAGGCGCGGGACAGGAGCCGCGGGACAGGAGCCGGGACGCCGTTGGTGCGGGGGGCATTCTAGTGAGGAGGAACTGCTTGGGCCGACGTGGGGGCTGTTCCCGCAGGGGGATTTCAGGTGGAACTGGCTGTTTCCTGGCTCCAGGACATAAGGGGGTGGGGCCTGCGGGCCGCCCCAGACCCCTCTCGAACTCAGGCTGTGCCCAGGTCAGGAGACTCCTGCTGTGTTCTTGGGACAGTAGTCCCATGGGGTGCCCTGTAAAAGGCTGTGTGTGGGGCCTGCAGGGTAGACACTGTCTCGCAGGGTAGACACTGTCTCACAGGGTAGACACTGTCTCGCAGGGTAGACACTGTCTCGCAGGGTAGACGCAGTCTTGCAGGGTAGACACAGTCTCGCAGGGTAGACGCAGTCTCGCAGGGTAGACACTGTCTCACAGGGTAGACACAGTCACAGGGTAGACACAGTCTCGCAGGGTAGACACAGTCTCGCAGGGTAGACACAGTCACAGGGTAGACACAGTCACAGGGTAGACACAGTCTCACAGGGTAGACACTGTCTCGCAGGATAGACGCAGTCTCGCAGGGTAGACGCAGTCTCGCAGGGTAGACACTGTCTCACAGGGTAGACACTGTCGCAGGGTAGACACTGTCGCAGGGTAGACACAGTCTTGCAGGGTAGACACTGTCTCGCAGGGTCAACACAGTCTCACAGGGTAGACACAGTCACAGGGTAGACACAGTCTCGCAGGGTAGACACAGTCTCGCAGGGTAGACACAGTCTCGCAGGGTAGACACAGTCACAGGGTAGACACAGTCACAGGGTAGACACTGTCTCGCAGGGTAGACACTGTCTCGCAGGGTAGACACAGTCTCACAGGGTAGACACTGTCTCGCAGGGTAGACACTGTCTCGCAGGGTAGACACAGTCACAGGGTAGACACAGTCTCGCAGGGTAGACACTGTCTCACAGGGTAGACACAGTCTCGCAGGGTAGACCTTGTCTCACAGGGTAGACACAGTCTCGCAGGGTAGACACAGTCTCGCAGGATAGACACAGTCTCACAGGGTAGACACTGTCTCGGGGGTAGACACAGTCTCGCAGAATAGACACAGTCTCGCAGAATAGACACAGTCTCGCAGGGTAGACACAGTCTCGCAGGGTAGACACAGTCTCGCAGGGTAGACACAGTCACAGGGTAGACGCAGTCTCGCAGGGTAGACACAGTCTCGCAGGGTAGACACAGTCTCGCAGGGTAGACACTGTTGCAGGGTAGACACTGTCGCAGGGTAGACACAGTCTCACAGGGTAGACACAGTCTCACAGGGTAGACGCAGTCTCGCAGGGTAGACGCAGTCTCAGGGTAGACGCAGCCTCGCAGGGTAGACGCAGTCTCGGCTGGCTTGGGGCCTCCAGGTTTGAGGACGTGCCTGGTCAGTGCCCAGCGGGAGGGGAAGGCTTTGAGGAGTGGCTGCCGTCTGTGCACGTGGGCAGCCTGCTCGGGAGGAACCTCTGGTGGGGGACCGGCCGGAACTGGATGTGTGTCTGGGACGGGGGCTGTGGTGCGGGCAGATTCTGGCGTGCAGGTGCACCGCAGCAGCGTAGCCTCCTCCCTGCGGCCCTCCCCGTCCCGGCCCTGCCCCTGCAGGGATGAGCTCAAGCGCCATTACAACCTGGGCGAGTACTGGATCGAGGTGGAGATGGAGGACCTGGCCAGCTTCGACGAGGACCTGGCCGACTACTTGTACAAGCAGCCGGCCGAGCACCTGCAGCTGGTGAGTGCGCCCCCCCTCCCCCCTGAGCCCCCCTACCTGGGGCCGGCTCTGCCCCATCGCTGACGGCCCGCGTCCTCCTCCTCCCCCTCCCCAGCTGGAGGAAGCTGCCAAGGAGGTAGCTGATGAAGTGACCCGGCCCCGGCCTGCTGGCGACGAGGCGCTGCAAGACATCCAGGTCATGCTCAAGTCGGACGCCAGCCCGTCCAGCGTTCGCAGCCTGAAGGTGGGTCCCCTGAGAGGCCAGCCGAGGGTGGGGGGCGAGAAGCCTGTCGGAGCTCGGCAGGGCCGGTCTGTCGTGCGTTTATTTTGGTCAGCGAATGCTTCCCGAGCGGTTGCTACCTGCCTGGTGCTGGGGTTGTTACTCACGGTGGTGGACAGAACAGGTGGGCCCTGGTGGTCTTGAGCTTGCGCTGGGAGAAATAGCAGGGAACATGTAGGTGGTGGCGGGTCGTGCAGATGAGGCGTGGAGGAGAGACCAGCAAATGGGAGCAGCGCCGTGGCGGAGGCAGGTGGATGGCCGTCAGAGAACGAGTGACGTTGGTGCCAGATGCGAGCGGTGCGTAGCCAGCCCGGGACAGCCCAAGGGGGAGCCTTCCAGGCTCAGGAGCGGCAGGTGCAAAGGCACTGTGGTGGGGGTGGTGTCATGGTTCAGGGACCTAGAACGGTAGCGTGGCTGGAGGCCAGTGAGCGTGAGGGTTGGGAGGAAGGAGGTAGAGGGCCAGGGTGCCCGGCCTTCTAGGCACGGGGTGGAGCTGGAGTTTTGCGGGAAGCAGGACAGTGATCTGCCGCGCGTAAGGGCATCTGTGGGACAGGCAGGCGGGGAGACCCAAGGGGGTGGGGCTGCGGGAGAGCAGTGAGGAGGACGCGCGTGGGGGTGGTGACTGCTGGGTCAGGGGCGTGGTGGGAGCCCCACGAGCTGGTCATGTGATTGTGCTGGTGGCTGTGGGGATGCCCTGACGGTCCTGCCCCGTCACCGCCGCCGTCTGCTCTTTGCTAGAATCCCTCAGGCCCCCGCGGCTCTGTCGGGGTGCCTGCCTTGCTGAGTGGGGTGGCAGGCGGTGCCGCAGAGCGTCGGCTGCGTGGGAGGCTCTGGGTTAGTGTGCAAACAGCTTCAGAAGTCGTGCCTGTCTGGAAGTGGCGTCGGGTTGGTCTTCCAGGGACACTGTGTGATCTGAGGGGCAGGCGTCTGCTCTCCGGGGAATCACCCTCTCCTGACGGGTGGCCCGTCAGGGGTGGCTTGTGGCCAGGGCGACCTTGGTCTCCCAGGATTGCTGTCTCGGGGTGCTGAGAGGTGTGTGCTTTCCAGAACATACGTGCTGGGTGTTGTCCCAGGATCCCAGGATGCCGAGTCAGGGTGGGGCCGAGTCAGGGTGGGGCCGTGTGGCCCTGGCCTCCTGCCTGTTTGTTCCTCGCTGTCTCCCAGGCAGCAGAGGACACACCCAGCATGAACTTGGAGCCCCGCCTCTTCTGTCCCAGGAGCCTCCTGAGAGTGGGAAGAAGTGGCCGTAACCGGAGCTTTTCTCGTTTGCTTGTGGCTATCAAACATCTCAGCTGCACGCAGGGAGTGGGGGTGATGAGCTGCAGTGAGCCGTGTCCTGTGCTGGACTTAAGGATCATTAGTGTCTTGCGCCTCATTTGCTTTCTCCTTTTTTTTAACCTTTATTTCTTTCTAAAGGTTTATTTATTTGGAAGGCAGAGGAACAGAGAGGGCGAGACAGAGCAAGGGGTCTTCCACCCCCGGGTCACTCCCCAAATGGCTGCAACAGCTGGAGCTGGGCCGATCTGAAGCCAGGAGCTCCGTCTGGGTCTCCATGCTGGAAAGCAGGGGCCCACACACTTGGGCCGTCTTCCACTGTTTCCCCGGACACACATTAGCAGGGAGCTGGATCAGAAGTGGAGCAGCCGGGACTTGAACTAGCGCTCTGGTATGGGCCACTGTTATTGCAGGCAGTAGCCTAGGCCACTGTACCACACACAAGTCCCGATTTGTTTATATTTATATGTTTGTGGGGCTGGCACTATGGCCCTGCTCTCTTCCTTGTTGTGCTATGAGGGTCTTTAGTTATTTATTTTTTGAAAGATTTTATTTACTTATTTAACAGGTAGAGATTTTATTTACTTATTTAACAGGTAGAGTTACAGACAGTGGGAAGGAGAGACAAAGAGTGAGGTCTTCCACCCCCTGGGTCACTCTCCGAATGGCCACAACAGCTGGAGCTGGGCCGATCTGAAGCCAGGAGCTTCTTCCGGGTCTCCCACGTGGGTACAGGGGCCCAAGGACTTGGGCCATCTTCTACTGCTTTCCCAGGCCATAGCAGAGAACTGGATCGGAAGAGGAGCAGCCGGGACTAGAACTGGCGCCCATATGGGATGCTGGTGCCGCAGGCGGAGGATTAACCTACTGCGTCACAGCAGCGGCCCCCAAGGGTCTTTATTTGAGAAAGAGATCTTTGATCTTTAGTTTAGTTCCCTAATGCCTGAAATGATGGGCTGGGTCAGGCCAAAGCCAGGAGCCTGGAATTCAGTCTGGGTCTCCCCATGTGGGTGGGAGGGGCCAGCTATGTGAACCATCATGTTTTGCTTCCCGGGGTGCACACTGGCAGGAAGCTGGATTTGGAAGCGGAGCTGGGATTCAAACCAGGCTCTGTGATGTCGGATGTGGGCTTTTTTTAAATTTTAATTTAATTTTTTTTTTTAGATTTATTTGAACGGCAAAGTTAGAGAGGCAGAAAGAGAGAGAGGGGTCTTTCATTTGCTGGTTCACTCCCCAAATGACTGCAGTGGCTGGAGCTGGGCCAGTCTGAAGCCAGGAGCCAGGAGCTTCTTCCAGGTCTCCCACGTGGGTGCAGGGGCCCAAGGACTTGGGCCATCCTCTACTGCTTTCCCAGGCCATAGCAGAGAGCTGGATCGGAAGTGGAGCAGCCGGGTCTCGAACCGGTGCCCATATGGGATGCTGGCACTGCAGGCGGTGGCTTTACCTGCTGTGCCACCGTGCCGGCCCCCGGGAAGCAATTTTTGTGCTGAACAGAAGAGCTGTGGCCCTCCTTGTGGGTCTGCACCACCTCGGCCAGGCCCCTGCCTGGGTCATTCCCCCACGCCCTTAACCAACGAACCTGCTGGTGGCTCTGTTCCAGTCGGACATGATGTCACACCTGGTGAAGATCCCCGGCATCATCATTGCGGCTTCAGCGGTCCGCGCCAAGGCCACCCGCATCTCCATCCAGTGCCGGAGCTGCCGCAACACCCTCAACAACATCGCCATGCGCCCTGGCCTCGAGGGCTATGCCCTGCCCCGGAAGTGCAACACGTGAGTGTGCAGCTGCAGGCGTGTTGGGGAGGTGAGCAAGGCTGAGCGCGGGCGTTGAACGGCACCTGCAGCTCCTTGTTAGAGACTCGCTGGGATGGCCAGGGGCAGGGCTGGGCTCCCTGGGGTTCAGGGTCATGAGCTGGGCTTGGTGTCTCTGTGCCTTGGTGACTTCTGCCCCACGAGGATGCTCACCCTTGTGTGGAGAACCTAGGGTTGGTGGGAAATGAGTCTGTCCAGCATCTTCTGAAGAAAGCTAGAACTTGCTGAGCCACACAGCTCTGAGGGCCTTTGACCCTGCCGTTCCTGGGGTGCCTTGCCCTCAGGTCTCCCCGACCCGTCTTGTGTTGGTGCGCACTCCTGGTTCCCCTTCAAGACCCCAGCGTTTGCGCCCACCTCCGAGCTGCCTGCCCCGGTTCCTCCGTGACATTCCTCCAGCTGCTGCCTCCCACGTCTTGGTGGTGACTGCGATGGGCGGGTTCTCGGGTGGCTCTGCTGACTCTGCGTCCTCTGGCTCAGGGATCAGGCTGGGCGCCCCAGTTGCCCGCTGGACCCCTACTTCATCATGCCCGACAAGTGCAAGTGCGTGGACTTCCAGACGCTGAAGCTGCAGGAGCTGCCTGACGCGGTGCCGCACGGCGAGATGCCCAGACACATGCAGCTGTACTGCGACAGGTGAGGGGCCGGGGCGGGGCGGGGCGGGGCGGGGGATGGCTCCCTGCAGAGCGCGTGCTGCACGCGTGGCGCCGCCCACAGGCTTCCCTGTGATCCGCACGGGCCACACTGTGCAGAAGGCGACCTGTAACCTGGGAGAGGTGAGGTGGCCTTGGGTGTGGGTCTGCTCTTCCCAGACGAGGGTGCTCACTGGAGGGTGAAGCTCCTTCATGGGGCTGTGACAAGCCTTGGCGTCTGTTAGCTCACGGTGCTGTAGGAATGGAGAGGGATCAGACCGCTTCATCATCGCACCAGGCTCAGAGAGGTGCAGTGACTTCTCTGAGGTCACACAGGTGCCAGGTGCGCCCTCCACCCCAACCGTGGCTCTGGGTTGGGGGCTTGGAGACTTCCTCTTTCAACATTTTATTTTCAAAGATTTATTTGTGTGAGAGGCAGAGTTAGAGAGGTCTTCCATCTACTGGTTTACTCCCCAAATGGCCCCAACAACCGGGGCTGGGCCAGTCAGAAGGCAGGAGCCAGAGCTGCTTTGGGGTCTCCCACATGGGTGCAGGGGCCCAAGCTCTTAGGCCGTGTTCTGCTGCTTTCCCAGGCACGTTAGCTGGGAGCTGGATAGGAGACAAAGCAGCCGGCACCCAAATCGGCGCCCGTATGGGATGCAGGCATTGTAGGCGGCGGCTTTACCTGCCGCAGCACTACGCTGGCCCCCCGCGTTTTGTTTTAAAAGAGAAAAGCCAGGGCCGAGCTCATGGCCACACAGGGGTGGAGTGGGGAGTGGCCCTCGGCAAGGGGCCTGGGAGGGCAGGAGAAGGAGGACCCCACCCCCCAGGAGGTGAGAGGGCCCCGTGTGACCTCTGGGATGGCAGGTGAGAGGAGATGGCCTGGGGTCGAGCCGGCCCCCAGCCTCCCTGCAGCCAGTGTGACAAAGCATTCAGTGAGAGGGTCGGCACCACTGTCCACGCCCCCACCCCCACACAGCTGGGCCACACAAGCGTGGGGCCAGTAGAGAGAGGGGAGAGCCCTTCCCTGGGTGTGGTGGGGTGGACTCAGGGCGGAAGTGCTAAGGCGAGTACTGTGTGACAGGGTGGCACTGGCCGTCCCCCCAGAAGCTCACCTTTGGTTCTCCCTCCACCTCAGGTACCTGTGTGACAAAGTGGTCCCCGGGAACAGGGTCACCATCATGGGCATCTACTCCATCAAGAAGTTCGGCCTGACCTCCACCAGGGGTCGTGACAGGGTGGGTGTGGGCATCCGCAGCTCCTACATCCGTGTTCTGGGCATCCAGGTGGACACGGATGGCTCTGGTGAGTTGCTCTGGGGTCCTGGTGCGGCCTGGGCTTGCACACGTCTTTCCATGGGTAGCTCATTATCTCGTGAACTAGCCCAGCCACCCCTGCATTGCTCACAACCCTGGAATGTGTATCTGTGTGGCAGCAAACAGCTGTGGCCCCAGCACTTCCGCCCGCCCGCTCGTCCCAGCTGTGGCCCCGGGGCCCGGGGTGTTTGCTGAAATGTAGGGTCAAGGCTGCAGGCCTCGGGTCACTGGAGAAGCCTGCAGTGCTGTGAGGAGTGAAGTGCTGGGCTCCAGGGCAGGGGAGGAGCTGTGGGGGGGGGGGGTCTGGTTAGAGAAAGCACCGCAGGGAACCTCTGGGACAGGGAGGAGGGAGTGTCGGGGGCTGGGCCCAGTGCGAGGGCTTCCTGCAAGGGGGCATCTGAGCTGCCCGTGGAAGGGTGGTGAGTGTGCAGGGTCTTCAGTAGAAGGGTGGGGTGGCCGAGGAAGGCCTGAGCCGGCCTGCCTGCCTGCCGAGTGGCTGGGGCTGGAGCTCCTGCTCACACCCCTGGGTGATCAGACCTTGTGGCCCTCTGGCCTCGGTAATCGCCTGGAGGGCTGGGCCCCCAGGGCTCAGTCCTGTTTACCTCAACTACCTGCACAGTTACTGCCTTAAAGGAGAAGCTCCCTGTTTGCTGGCGTTCCGCACGTCTCCGTCTCTTGCCTGGCTTCCTCCCGTATTCTAGACTTTTCTGTCCACCTGCTAGCTTGTCCACTGTCAGGCTGCCTCTTGGGTCTCCCTTCCGCCTTCTCTGTTCCCAGCAGCCAGAGGGTGTGATGTCGTCATGACCAAGGACACCTGTCACTCAGCTGAAGTGGCTCCACCCCTCTTGGCAAAGGGGAGTCTTTCAGTGGTCCCCAAGATGTTGCCCCGGTTCCTCAGGCCCCCCGCTCCCTCCCACTAGTTTGATGCAGGAACATTCTAGGCCCATTCTTGAGGACTGGCCGTGGGGACTGTGGAACAGCCCTGGAGCTGACTATGCAGACTGAGGTGTGCTGTGCTGGCTCTGAGGGCCCTGTGGCCCTGTTGTCTGAGGGGTCCCCCTGAGCTGGGGCTGGGCAGCGGGCAGGAGGAGGTGCCCCTCTCACATATCCCCTGCCCCGCCCACCCAGGCCGCAGCTTTGCCGGCTCTGTGAGCCCCCAGGAGGAGGAGGAGTTCCGTCGCCTGGCTGCCCTCCCCAACGTCTATGAGGTCATCTCCAAGAGTATTGCCCCCTCCATCTTTGGGGGCACGGACATGAAGAAGGCCATCGCCTGCCTCCTGTTTGGGGGCTCCCGAAAGAGGTGAGGGGTCTGGATCCCCTGGGTCTGGAGAGGGGCTGATGGCCCATAGGTCAGCAGGCAGGCCCGCGGGACTGCGTGCTTCTCACGTGCCCCAGGCCTCTGGGATTCCTGCCAATTCCCAGGCTCCCTGTCAGCCGGCTAGGGGCCCATCCATGCACCTGCTCCGAGATCCGCCAGCCCTGGCGGATCTCTGCAGCAGAGAGTACCGGGTTTAGAATCTGAGGACCAGGCATGGGGCCCTCACTGTGTGGCCTTGGGGGAGAGACACCACCTCTCTGAACCCAAAAAGTGCCACGTGATTGAAACACAGGAAACCCAACACGACAGGACACCTGTGTCCTTTTGAAACTGAAATAACAGAGGCATCGACACTAAGAGTACAAGGTGACGTCAGCACTACCATTTACTATGTTCTCGCTGTGTACTGTGCGTGCAGCACTCTGAGCACCTTGTATGTCTGAAATCTAAGCAGGTTGTTGCCGACACTCTGTAAAGATGGCTGTTGTTCCCATGTGATTGATGAGGGAATTAGGTATAGAGAGCTAAAGGGGCTTGCTCCTAGGTGCGCGTGGTAGAGCCAGGAACCTGTGCTCGCTGCCCATGGAGCTGTACTGCGCAGCCGCAGATCTGTGTGGCAGCTGTGAGGAGTGTTTACCAGGTGCTGGCGTGTGTGCCCGAGTGCAGGTCCCCTCCCCGGGAGGCAGGCTCTCCCCCGTTGTTAGGCCAAGTGTGCCAGTGTTAGGGAGCCACGGAGCTGGGTGTGGACATGGCTCTTCCTGCCTGCTCCGAGGCTGGGAGGTGACCCGGCCTCCAAACCGGGGAGCCTGAGTACCAACAGGTGCAGTCTTGCCAAGTCCACCTGCCTCTCCTCAGGCTCCCTGACGGACTCACACGGCGAGGCGACATCAACCTGCTGATGCTGGGGGACCCGGGGACGGCCAAGTCGCAGCTCCTGAAGTTTGTGGAGAAGTGCTCTCCCATCGGGGTGAGTGCCCCAGCCTGGAGGCAGCTGCAGGCCGGGCCCAGTGGGGCCCTCACGGCGCCCGGGGAGGCCTGCCTCATCCAGAATCTTCGTGCCCCTGGCTGCAGGCCATACGGCAGAGGCTGGTAGGAGGAAGGGAGCCGGCAGCCGTGTCCAGGTGGGGGTGGAGGGTGAGAAGAGCGAGCGGAGGTTGGGGTTTGGGTCTCCGGCTGGCTGTTACTGGCTGTGGACTCAGAGCACACCCGCTCATCTCCCTGAGGTGTGGCTGCTTGCTGAGTGGTGACCCTGATTGCAGGGGCCTGCACTGCCTGAAGTACTCACCTCAGCTCTGCTGAGTCCCCGTTACCCTCACTTAGGGAGCGGGGGTTGTGCTCCAGTGTCTGATACACAGAGTCCTCTGTGTTAGGTGGGTCTCAGAGCATCACAGGGGACATGGCTGTGTCTGCTGTGGGCACGGGCAGGCTGCCTGTGGTGGGCTTATGATGGGAAGTGTGCCACGTTGTCCACACCAGCACTGTCCAATGGGGCTAGCATGTCAACTGGGAATGAGTCATTTTAAATTTGTTAGTAGCTGGGGCTGGCGCTGTGGCTAAGCCTCCGCCTCCCGTGCCAGCATCCCATAAGGGTGCCGGTTCGTGTCCTGGCTGCTCCTCTTCCAATCCAGCTCTTTGCTAATGGCCTGGGAAAGCAGTGGAAGATGGTGCAAGTCCTTGGGCCCCTGCACCCACATGGGAGACCCAGATGAAGCTTCTGGCTTCATATCCTGGCTGTTGCGGCCATATTGGGAATGAACCTGCAGATGGAAGACCTCTCTCTCTCTGAGCTCTCTCTGTCTGTAACTCTGCCTTGCAAATAAATAAGTCTTTAAAAAATTGTAGCCAGAAAAAAATAAAGGGAAAAAAGGTGAAAGTAGTGTTCATAATATATACTTATGATACCTAAAATAGTTCAACATATAGCTTATCATTATTTTTTTAAGATTTATTTTATTTATTTGAAAGACATAGTTACAGAGAGAGGTAGAGACAGAGAAAGAGGTCTTCCATCCATGGGTTCACTCCTCGATTGGCTGCAATGGCCAGGGCTATGCCAATCTGAAGCCAGGAGCCAGGAGCTTCTTGCAGGTCTCCCATGCAGGTGCAGGGGCCCAAGGACTTGGGCCATCTTCCACTGCTTTCCCAAGCCACAGAAGAGAGCTGGATTGGAAGAAGAGCAGCCAGGACTCGAACTGGTGTCCATATGGGATGCCGGTGCTTCAGGCCAGGGCTTTAACCCTCTGCGCCACAGCGCTGGCCCCGTGGCTTATTGGTTTTTTAGTTTATTTATTTGAAATGCAGAGTTAGGGAGTGTCAGAGATCAGTCTTGCATCTCCTGGTTCTCTCCACATGACCACAACAGCCATCTCTGGGTCAGCCCAAGGCCAGGAGCCAGGAGCTTTATCTGGATCTCCCACTGTGTGACAGGGCTGCCCCTGGGGCTGCCATCTGCTGCTTTCCGAGGCACGTTAGCAGGGAGCTGGATCATAAATGGACCACCTGGGACATGAACTGGGCCCACATAGGATGCTGGCATTGCAGGCCGTGGCTTAACTTGCTGCGCCACAGTGCTGGCCCCAACATAGTTTAAAATAAAGAATTAATAATGAGTACTGCACCGAGGCTTGGTGGCCTGTGCATCTTACACGTTAAGGACATGTCATTTGGGACTTGCCCTGCTGCGAGGGCGAAGTGGCAGTGTGGAGCACGCAGGTGACAAAGGGTTCACGGCAGGGCGGCCTTGGGAGCCCGGAGTGCCCATCCAAGCTCTGAGGCCAGCTTGAGGCGTGTCTCCCCGCTCTGGGCCTGAGCTCGCTGATGAGCTGAGAGGAGGCTCAGATGAGCCATGGAGATGACACCGTCAAGGAGAGAACATGTAGGCCAGACTGAAGCTCAGGGCAGCTCCCCTCCAGCAGGAGAGGCACTGGGTCAGAGCCTTGAGTTGGTTTTGTCCTTTGCAGCCAGCTTGGGGAGTCATAGCCCCCGGGGCCCCCCCGACTCCCTGGGGTCAGGGCTCAAAGCTGGAGCAGCGCTGGGCCCTGACGCCTGCCCTGCGCCTCCCCCAGGTGTACACATCTGGGAAGGGCAGCAGTGCCGCTGGTCTGACCGCCTCGGTGATGAGAGACCCCTCGTCCCGGAACTTCATCATGGAGGGCGGGGCCATGGTCCTGGCTGACGGTGGAGTCGTCTGCATTGACGAGTTTGACAAGGTGAGCGCTGGCCGAAAGGTGGTGGCTCCTCACAGTGACGCCCTGGACTTGGCCGTCACAAGGCACCTGTAACCTGGGAGACCGGCGTGCAGTCCCTGGGCCTGTCACTCGTGGGGGGCTACATGTCTAACCTCTCTGCTGCGGTTCCTTTATCTGGAGAGTGGGGAGGGGAGAGCCAAGTCCATGCAGTTGTCACTGTGGTTAGAGTGGCCCAGATTCTCCGTTGTCCTGGCACGGGGTGGGCCTTGCCGCTGCGCCCTGCCCAGGCGTGAAATGGCCATTTCTCTCCCCACGCAGATGCGAGAGGACGACCGCGTGGCCATCCACGAAGCCATGGAGCAGCAGACCATTTCGCTCGCCAAGGTGAGGGCCTCCCTGGCCGGCCACCTGCTGCAGCCCAGCCCCGTCATTC